AAAAAAAAAAAAAAAGAAGGAAATCCTGTCATTTGCAATAACATGGATGGACCTTGAGGGCATTAAGTAAAATAAGCCAGACAGAGAAAAACAAATACAGTATAATCTCACTTATTTTTGGAATCTAGAAGACTTTTTTTTTACTTAAAAAAAAAAATACTGAGCTCATAATACAGAGAATAGATTGGTGATTGTGAGAGGCAGAGGGTGGGTAAAACGGGTGAAGGGGGTCAAAAGGTACAAATTTCCAGTTATAAAATAAATAAGTCATAGGGATGTAATGTACAACATGGTGACTATAACTAGTAATACTCTACCACATATTTGAAAGCTGCTAAGAGAGTAGATGGGGAAAGTTTTCACCATGAGAAAACAAAATCAACCGATGTTAACCAGACGTGGTGAGCGTTTTGCAATGCATACAAATATCAAATCATTATGTTGTACAACTGAACTTAATATAATGTTATATATCAGTTTTACCTCAGTTCATTTATTTTTGAGAGAGAGAGAGAGAGAGAGCGGGGGAAGGGCAGAGAGAGACACACACACAGAATCTGAAGCAGGCTCCAGGCTCTGAGCTGTCAGCACACAGCCTGACACAGGGCTTGAACCCACAAACAGCGAAATCATGACCTGAGCTGAAGTTGGATGCTTAAGCGACTGAGTCACTCAGGTGCCCCAATTTTACCTCAATTTTAAAAAAGATAATGAGTCTTAAATACACAAATAATTTTAGCAAACTTTGACTAGGTTAACTACAGCACCATCAGCTACAGCTAAATCACTGCTACCTAGTTTACTGAAAACACATCATCTCATCATAAGTTGTTTATTAAGTACTTATTCTAACTCAATGGTTTTCTACCTTTTTCTAATCTTTCATAGCAAACCTAAAGGCTATGTGACATACCTACTGGTAACAGTGGGTCCCCGACTGATCTCAAAAGACTGGGAGAGACTGCTATTTGACAAATACTGGGATACGCTATTAGGTTACCACTGTAAACAGGAACAAACATTCCTGCATTCATGGAACTTACAGTCTTAAGAAATAGCATGAACAACAAACACAGACACATACCCAAAATGACTGGAATGTGTATATGTGTGTATGCATGCATGAGTCTGGACTTACTGTACCCTCACTTCAGCTCTACCAGTCATACCACCCCCCTCCACTCCCATCTCCAGGGACCCACACACCTCTGAGTTGTGCATCATTGCATTAGATGATGGAAGAGAATTAAACTCTATAATACTCTACAGGAGAATTTCTACCAAAGCTAATTATCATTGACATATAAGTAAAGCAGTCTAAGTACAGTTCAGGCGTCTTAAGGACTTTAAACTAAGCCTAGGACCCTCTGTGATCAGACAGGTCAAACACCCATGAAACCTTCATGTCTTCCATACTTATGAAATGTGTAACTTGTAAACAGTCACTTAACCTACATCAGGTTCCTTACAGCTATTAAATTAGAGGAGGGAAGAAAAAGGCTTTCAGCTTCTTCCCATAACTAACATCTGTGTTTTTTTATTCAAAAGACCATTCATTCATTTGGAGAGAATTATTTTACCCTTTTATTTAACCATTAAAATGCTCACTGTAACTCAAAGCTAATGTTGAAACTCCAGACATTGTAATTCACCTGCAACCATTTGATATTTTTCTTACCTCTAGATAATTCCTCAATTTTGCCTGAGAGAAAATATCTCCAAAGCAGTTTTCCAACTTTATTAGTCTCCCGTGTATGCCATTTAAATCTGAAATTCCTAACTGAGATCTCCATCTATAAAGTAATTTTTCTCATGGTAAAATATCTCCTTGCACAAATTAAACTATTTTCTTTTTTATTCTATTCCCGAAAAATTATCTGTCCCAAATCAACGTCCACCTATGGTACAGCGCCTGGGTCTGCTCCAATAAAAAGGAGGCAAAATGTCAATGTGAGAGTTAGTTAACTCTTTTATTCTACCAGTTTAGTATTTAGCATAACATAACTGATAACTGTCTAAACCAAGGGTTCTTACTCCGGAGTCCATGGAAAGAATTCTGGCAACTAATTAACCTAAACAGAAAAAATTAGATCTTTATTTCCATCCAACTCCTAGATAAAATTTAGCATTTTCTTCAATTACGAGTGTAAGCAGCAAACCAAGGAGATTAGTAGTACCTATGGCTTGATCACCAATAAATATTATACATATTTTCATATCATATTATAGTTATTGTAGGTATCTTAAAGCATCATATATGTTCAACATTTCCTCAAAATTGTAGTAGTTACTAGGCCCAACAATAGATCTTATGGTTTAATGTGTTAATACAAAAACGATATGTTATTATAACACAAAATTGGTTTTTACATTGAAATAACTATATTTCAATATAATTGGCTTCCCTCGCAATCCTAAGTATATCATTTTATGCATTTAGAAATATAATTCTAAGAAAAGGTCCATAGACTTCACCAAAGTACACAAGGGGTCTACAGTACAAAAAAGGTGAAGAAACTCTGGTCAAAAGAAGTTACAGAGCTCATGTGACAATAAAATAGAACCAAACGTACTCTTGTCTCACTCTTGTCACACTCATTCTAATATAAACAGTCCTTAAAATTCTAATTCAACAGCAATGCCTATTACAACAAAATCTTCATGGCCCACTTATTTTAAGATGACAATAATTAACTATATCAAAACAAAATAGCTTTTGCTGTTGTTGTTTGTGGGTTTTTTTCTGTTGTTTTTATTTTTGCACATGTGACCATAAAATTTGATATGAAAGAGTATGATCCAGATACACGTCTTTACAGCACAATCTAGAATGCTTTTTGGATTGGTACCTGAGATGACAGTAGGTTGCAATCAATGAACAGTCCTTTCCCAGTTTTATATCTTTGTATCAATCCAGCCATAATGGCTCCATATGCATACAGGCCAGTAGCAAGATCAGTCATGGCCACTCCTGGACGAACTGGATCTCCATCCTGATTGAGGGTTGGGGTGAGAAAAACAGAAAATTGAAAATTGAAACCATCAGATGATTTCTCAAATATTCTAAGATCAAACAGAAGAAAGAATTGTATATGACTTGTGCATGCACACACACAAGAGAAAAACAAACAAGCTGCTACTGTGGATACCTGTTGGTGGTGAGAATATATATTTACTGTATTTCTCACTCCTTCTCCTACCAACCAAACTAAACCAAACCAAATAAGATAAAATATTTTTTAAACATGTCTGAAGTTCCTTCTTTTAAAAAAAAAAATTTAATGTTTATTTATTTTTGAGAGAGAGAGAGAGAGAACATGAGTGTGGGAGGGGCAGAGAGGGAGGGAAACACAGAATCTGAAGCAGGCTACAGGCTCCGAGCTGTCAGCACAGAGCCTGACACAGGGACCGAACTCAGGAACAGCAAAATCATGACCTGAGCCGAAGTCGGACAATGAACTGACTGAGCCACCCAGGTGCCTTCTTAATATATTTTACCTGCTTATAGTAACAAAATAAATAATTAAATTTGAATTTAAATGAGTTAATCTATTGGAAATGAAAAAGAGCATTTTTTTTTTTTCCTGTTGGGTAGGAGGCTCTTCCAGGAAAAAAGGCAGAAGACCTGGGCTATTCTCATATAAGCATGCTAATTACTGGCAAATATACTAATGGTATTTGCTTAAAAAAAAAAAAGTAATACTTATCCATAGAAGGCTTTTAAAAGCAGATTATTCCTGGCTTAGAATTACTATGATAAACAAGCCTAGAATCTATAGGTTTATAAGGGATGGGACACCAGCTATGCATTATCAAAGTATAAAATGTAACATTTCACAGCCTGCAATGTTCCCTGCTGTATGAGGTAACCCATGTACTTCATTAGGTATAGTATCTACTGCTCTGGGATTGAGAATTTTGTCTATTGTGGGAAGAAAGAAAGCCTCTCTCAATGTTCAAGACCTCAGTCTGATTTTCCTGTGCCTTTTGGTTCCTTGTACCCTTAAAATTACAAGTAAAGCTTAATACTGATTAACATCTTCAACTGATGTCAGTCGGTTTTGATAATCCAATCCTTGACCTATACATACAGATACTAGAACTGTGCCTGGCAAACAATAAGTACCAGATAAAAATGAGCTAACACTATCATTTACATTATTATCAGTCATTGTAACATCATAGAGTTCTTATTTTTCACTACCTTGAATTCTGTTAAGCCTTTCATTACACAGAATACCTAAAAAAAACCTACATTTCATCTGGTTGATGCATTTATTCAATCATTTCCTCATTCATTAATTCCAGCTGTTATTCAACCATTTTCAGAAGCTAGTTTTCCCTTTTCTGCAACCCATACATAATCTGTCAATCACCTTATAAGAGTACTAAATAATGTTAAAAGCAAGTAAATGAGAATATTTAATGACTAAACTTTTTTTTTTTTTTTTGCTTTTCAACACCATTTCAAGAAAGATATAGCAATGAAAATTGGCAACTTCTGGCTGTTTTCTAACTATTATGATTGGAAAAACTTGTAGTTTTGTAGCATTCTATGTACTAATACCAAAATAGTAGAAAGAGAAATTAAGAAAATAACTCTATTTACTGGGGCGCCTGGGTGGCATAGTCGGTTAAGCGTCCGACTTCAGCCAGGTCACGACTGCTGGTTCCAGGTTCCAGCCTGCCGGGGTTTGGCTGATGGCTCAGAGCCTGGAGCCTGCTTCCATTCTGTGTCTCCTCTCTTCTGCCCTCCCTGCTCATGCTCTGTCTCTCTCTGTCCCAAAAATAAATAAACGTTGAAAAAAAATTAAAAAAAAAAAAAAAGAAAATAACTCTATTTACAATTGTACCAAAAAGAATAAAATCAGTAAATTTTAAATTAAATTTGTCACTGGGATTTAAAATTATTTATTAAAGAAGAGAGACAAGGGCGCTTCTGGGCAGGTTCAGTCGGGTTGCCGTCTGATCAGCTCAGGTCACACCATGTCGGACTGAGCCCCACCGCTAATTCTGTTGATGGCTCAGAGGCTAGAGCCTGCTTCACCCTTGTGTCTCCCTCTCTCTGCTCCCTCCTCAAGTTCATGCTCTGTCTCTCTCTGTCTCAAAAATTAAAAATAAACGTTTAAAAAAAATTTTTAAAAAATGAGAGACAAGTTCAAATCTAAGTTTATAGACACATTTCCTCACTATAAAATAATATACTCATATTTTATCTGCTATGCTTCTCAGACCAATAGGAATAAAGTAGATAATAAATCTTTTAACTTATATATAAACTTATTGAAAGGGGGAGACTTCACCTGATTAATATTCTAAAAATATCATTATGTTATCCAGAATAATAGTATTAAATGTATGGACATTAAATAAACATGAACTCATCCACAGAAACAACATTATCACTCTTAAAAGTGACAATTTGTGGCAGATAATTTTAGTGAAACACTAAGTGAAACAAGCTTACTAACACGCTTTAGATTCAAAGATACAAATTGGCTGAAAATAAAAAGAAAGCATGGGGAAAAACAGATCTTGCAAACAATAGCCATAAAAATGCTGGAGTGGCTATACTACTATCAGACAAAATAGATTTTAAACAAACCAAAAAAAGTCACTAGAGAAGATAAAAGATTTTATAAGGAAAATGGGGCCATGGCACTGGGAAGATATAATAATTAAAAACATATATGCACCCAAAATAGAGCTGCCAAAATATAAAAAGCAAAAAGTGACATATTTGAAAAGAGAAACAGACACTTCAGGTATGATAGCAGGTTTCAATACTCAAATACAAATAGTGAATAGAACAACTAGAGAGAATATCAGAAAAGAAAGAAGAGATTTGAACAACACCATAAACCAAATACATCTATATTTAAATGACTATAAAACACTTCGTGCAACAACAAAACGCACATTCTTCTCAAGTGCACATGGAACATTCTCTAGGACAGATCATATCATAGGCAATACGACAAGCTAAAATAAACTTAAAAGTAGTGAGTTCACACAAAATATGTTCTCAGATAACAAGTGAATAAAATTAGAATCACTAACAGAGGCATATTTTGGAAACTCAAAAATATGTGCACAGTAAACAACATAATCCCAATATACCAATAAGCAACAAAGAAAATCACATAAGAAATTAGAAAATACTTCAAGATGAGTAAGAGGCATCCATATAGGTAAAGTTTAACCTATCTCTATTTACAGACAACATTGTACTACACATAGAAAATCCTAGACTCCACCAAAAAAACTATTATTTACTGAGTAAATGAATTCAGTAAAATTTCAGGATACAAAATTAATACCCAGAAGTCAGTATCATTCTATATACTAATAACGAAAGAGAAATTAAGAAAATAACTCCATTTACAAGTATACCAAAAAGAATAAAATACCTAGGAATAAACTTAAAGAAGAAGGCGAAAGTCCTGTACTTTGAAAACTATAAACCATCGATGAAAGAAATTGAAGATGACACAAACAAATGGAAATATATGTCATGTTCATGGATTAGATGAATTAATCTTAAAAATGTGCATACTACCCAAAGCAATCTACAGATTCAATGCAATCCCTATCAAAATACCAACAGCATTTTTCATAAAACTACAACAAACAATCCTAAAATTTGTATGGAACCACACAAGTCCCCAAATAGTCAAAGCAACCTTGAAAAAGAAAAACAAAGCTGGAAGCCTCACAATTCTGACTTCAAGTTATATTACAAAGCTGTAGTGATCAAAACAGTATGGTACTGGCACAAAAATAGACACATAGATCAACAGAACAGAACAGAGAACCCAAAATAAACCCACAATTATATGGTCAATTTATCTATTACAAAGGAGGCAAGAATACACAATGAGGAAAAGACAGTCTCTTCATAAATGGTACTGGGAAAACTAGACAGCTACATGTAAAAGAATGAAACTGAACCACTTTCTAACACCATACACAAAAATAACTCAAAATAGATTAAAGACCCAAATGTAAGACATGAAACCATAGAAAACCTACAAGAGAACACAGGCAGTCATTTCTCTAACATGAACTATAGCAATAGTTTTCTAAATATGTCTCCTAAAGCAAGGGAAAAAAAACAAAAATAAACTATTGGGACTACATCAAAATAAAAAGTTCTTTCACAGTGAAAGAAACCATCAACAAAACAAAATGCAACCTAGTGAATGGGAAAAGATATTTGCAAATGATAAATCCAATAAAGGGTTAAGATCCAAAATATGTAAAGGATTTACACAACTCAATACCAAAAAAAAAAAAAAAATCTCATTAAAAATGGGCACAGAACCTGAATAGAAATTTTTCCATAGAAGACCTACAGATGGCCAACAGACACATGGAAAGATTCTCAACATCACCAATCACCAGAGAAACAGAAATTAAGACCACAATGAGATATCACCTTACACCTGTCAGAATGGCTGAAATCAAAAAGATAAGAAATAACAAGTATTGCCAAAGACATGGAAAAAAAAGGAACTTTTGTGCTCTGTTGGTGGGAATGTAAACTGGTACACTCCATACTGTGGAAACAATATAAGAGTTCCTCAAAAAATTAAAAATAAAAAGACCATATGATCCAATAATTCCACTACTGGCTATTTACCCCCCAAAAAACAAAAACACTAATTCAAAAAGATGTATATACCCCTATGTTTGTTGCAGCCTTACTTACAATAGCCAAGATATGGAAGCAACCTAAAAGTCCATCAAGAGCCAAATGGACGGGGTGCCTGGGTGGCTCAGTCAGTTAGGCGACCAACCTCAGCTCAGGTCAAGATCTCACAGTTCATGAGTTCGAGCCTCGCATCAGGCTCTGTGTTGACAGCTCAGAGCCTAGAGCCTGCTTCGGATTCTGTGTCTCCCTGTCTCTCTCTGCCCCTCCCCTGCTTGCACTCTGTCTCTCAAAAATGAATAAATGTTAAAAATTTTTCAAACAGAGAGATACAAATGGATA